AGCATACCTCCAATCCTACCACCCTGAGGCAGAGTCAGGAAGATTCATGAAATCTGAGGCCCATCTAAACTACATACTGAGTTCTATACCAACCAAAAAGCAAAAAGAATCATAAAGCTCTGCTCTGAATATGTTTTATTCTTTAATATCACCAGATATCCAATCCAAGTTCAGATTTTCCTAGTTGTCTTGAAACTGCCTTTTCCAGTTGCTGATGTCCAGTTCAGGGTCACACTGTCCCTAGCTCATCATTATTACGCTTGTTGGCTGTGTGGAGAAGGAGGTGTCAACCCCAGGGCATTCAGCTCAGTATCTAAGCTGCATGCCTCAGCCTAAACTAGTCCTTGCATAAGGATGTGTATAATGTCTCACTTTTGGGGTCTAATCATGTCTGAGTTCCTTGTATGTTGTATTTCCTGTGAAATGGTGTAAGATACAAAAACTGGTTTAGTATCCAGCTAAACATTCTGGTCAAGGTTCCATCAGAGACTAGGTGAGGTAGCTTGCTTATACTTGTTTTTGGTTTTAGTGTTTTGGTTTTTTATTTAGATTTCTTTTATGAGTGTTTTGCCTGCATGTATGTATGTGTACCACATGAGTGCCTGGCATCCTCATAAGTCAGAAGAGGGTGGTGGATCCCCTAAAACTGGAATCAAAGACAGTTGTGAGCTGCCATGTGAGTGGTAGGTACAATGCTAGAGCAGCCAGTGCTCTTGACTGCTGAGTCATCTAGTTAGCTAGCCGTGTGTGTGTGTGTGTGTGTGTGTGTGTGTGTGTGTGTGTGTGTGTGTTTATTTTGTTTGAGATAGGCTCTCATTGGGTAGCTCTGGCTGGCCTGGAACTCGCTGGTCTTGAACTCACGGCGATGTGCCTGCCTCTGTCTCCTTCCCTCTGCCACCCAGTGTAGCTTACACTTGCAATCCTAACACTTGGAAGGCTGAGACAGGAGGGTTGCAGTGAGTTCTAGGCCAACCTGAGCACTAAAGTAAGACCCTGTCTCAGTAAATCAAAAGCAGAAACCTGGAGGCTGGAAAGATGGATCAGCTGTTAATGCTTCCTATTCATCCAGAGGCCCCAAGTTGGCTCGCTTGCACCCATGTCAGGCAGCTCTGAAATGCCCGGAACTTCAGCCCCAGGGAATCAGACGTTGATGGGCACCCACACAGGCAGAGCACACAAATACACACAAATAAATAAATTATTGTTTCACAAACAACAAACCATATCGGAGTGATGTTCCTCACATCAGAGGACACTCGGGGACAGGTGGTATCTGCTCTCTACCGCTATTGAGTCTAGCGTGCACTGCTGGCTTGGATGCAAGGGTGGCATTCTGCCCCAACTCCATGACACCAAGTTTCCTCCTGAAGCCATGGAGTACCCAGGTCATCGACTGTTTCCCATACTGTGTTTGGCAAATGATCATCTTTGCCTTGATAGCAATTTATTTAGCAACAAAAAATCTGTTAATTTTCAATTCTCTTATTCCTCCAATAGGTTAGCATTTTGTTTTCTGTAGGGTTTTCCTGAAACAAAGTTGTCTATGGAAAAAGTAGGGTTTCTGTTCTCCCTCTTTTATTTTCTTCCTTCCTTCCTTTCTCTTTCTTCCTTCCTTCCTTTCTTTCGTGTGTGTGTGTGTGTGTGTGTGTGTGTGTGTGTGTGTGTGTGTGTCAGGATCCTTGGAATTCACCTGTGATCTTCCTGCCTTGGTCTCCTGAGTGCTGGGATTACAAGCAGAGCCACCATGGGAATTTTCGTTATCTCTTGTTGCTTTTGCAGTGCTGGAGTGGAACACAGGACCTTGCACATGCTAGAAAGTGCTGCCCCATGGAGCTGCTTCCCTAACCCGTGTTTATTTATTTGTTAACATTAATTTTCTGTCTATTTTGCTTGCATGTACATATGTGTATCATGTGTGTGCCTTGTGCCCAAGGAGTTCAAAAGAGAGTGTCAGATTCCTGGAACTGGAGTTATGAATGGTTGTGAGTTGTCACGTGGGTGCTGGGAATCAAACTTTGCCCTTCTACAGAGCAACAAGGGCTCTTAACCGCTGAGCCATCTCTCCAGACCCGAATTAATATTTAAAGTAAGGAACTGACTGGCAAGCCTCCTCAGTGGTATAACTTCTAGTTTTCTTATTGTCACAGACTCCTAAATTTTAAAGACTCATCATTTTAATCATCTGCAATCATTATTTATTTGCAGTTCTGGGGATTGAACAGGTGCCCTTCCACAGAGCTCTCTATCCAGCTCTCTCTTTTTTAATGTTTATTTTATGTCATGAGTGTTTTGCCTGAACATGTCTATGCACCGGTCTGCGAAGTGCTGTCCTTAGAAAGGTTGGATCTTCCAGTGGTCACAGGCTCCACTGTGTACTGCTCTCTGTGTGTGTGTGTATAAGCCAGGGGATTGAACTCAGGCTTTACCCACGGAGCTATCTTATCATATCAGCACTGTGTACTGCTCTCTGTGTGTGTGTATAAGTCAGTGGATTGAACTCAGGCAGTCAGGCTTTACCCACTGAACTATCTTATCATATCAGTTCCCCTACCTTTTTTTTTTTCCCCGAGACAGGATTTCTCTGTTTAGCTTTGGAGCCTGGCTTGGAACTAGCTCTTGTCATTCAGGATGGTCTCAAACTCATAGAGATCCGCCTGCCTCTGCCTCCCGAGAGCTGGAATTAAAGGCGTGCACCACCACCGCCCGGCTCCAACCCTAGAATTGGCTACTCCTCCTAGGAGTCCTAGCTTCTTCTAGAATAGATATTTAGAAACTAACGTCTGAGTCCTTGTTTGAGATGTGTGGTATATGCTTTACAGTACAGGCCTTCAGTCCTACTAGCCAGGTCCTTCTTTGGCGGCCTGCAGACCCAGTTGGGAAGCCAGTCTCTCCCCTGGGATTGGACCCGTGTGTGAGAGAGAATGGGGATGGGGGTGGGGTGTACACTTCAGGCTAGTGGAGCAGATGGAGGGTAGGACCCTCCCAGTCTCAGGGAGGCCAGGCCCAATGAGTCTGGAGGAAGCTACTAGGAGGACTGTACTGAACCTGGGCAGGCTTCTGACTCCTTCCTTCTTGGCTGCAGAGGCCACCCAGGACTCGGCCTTGGCCCCTAGGGCTCTCGGCTCCCGCGCTGCTCTTCTTTATCCTGTGGCCCTTCGTTGTCCAGTGGCTCTTCCGACAGTTTCGGACCCAGAAGAGGTGACTCAAGGAAGGGGTCTCTCTAGCAACGGAGAAGGCTGTGACGAGTCCCCGCAAGTCCTGCTGTGTCCTGAGCCTCCCTAGGTTTAGGGAAACAGCACTAGAAATCCCCCTCCAATGCTCCTTCACCCTGGCACTCCCTCCTTTCGTGGGGGCCCCACAAGACCCCACCCTTCTCTGCAGTTCGCACCGACGCCCTGGGTTCCGAGGCTGTCGGGCTGGCTGCTGTTATGGTGCACATCCTAGCTTTGGGGTTGGCGGTGAGCACCCTCCGACCCCACCCTCTGGGTCACCTGACTTTGCTCCCGCCGAGTCGGCTCCCTGCCGAGGCTCAGCTCTAGGGCAAGTTGGGACTTGGACCTGGCCTGAAGACTGATTGGCTGGAAGGTTACAGGAAAGGCCGGAGCCAGAAAAGTGGGGAGGAATGGGAGGAGTGTGCAAGCTGGGGGCTGGGACGCCCCGTACACACGCACAAGTACACACCGCGCTCAGGACTTCACTGAAGATTCACGTGCAATTGAATGCTTCATTAAACAAAAGAAAACTTTAGTCTGCCGTCTGGGCGACCAAGAAAAGAGCGGGAAACTGGGGGCGGGGTGGGGTGGTGGTCCGCACAAGACACAAGTCCGGTCTGTTCCACTCCATCCCCAAGTGCCCTGCAGCAGCTAGGGCTTCCTTATAAGGAATATCAGCCCTCCTCCCTAGAGGAACCAGGAGAAAATGGGCCTCACACTGGGGGTCAGGGAGCACAGGGCGGGAGGGTACACCCTTAGAGGCTTGGAGTTCTTACCGGGAGCCGGGCGTTGGTTGGCCCCGCCCCAAACGGAGGACTGCTGGCCCAATTCTGCGTACTGCACTAAGGATTGGGGTACCGAGCCCTGGACTCCGCATGAAGCTGCTTCTTCCCGAGCCCTTAAGTCTTGGTTGTTACTCCCTCTCATGACCATTCTTCCCAGAGAACTTTCTAGAAGGTCCGGACCCACCCACTGGGGGCCTCTATTGCCTGGACCCCCAGTTGTGGACCTAGTGCCCACACAGACCTCTTAAGCTGCTTGGCCTTGGAACTTTTGCCAACTGTCTAAGTGGCCTTGGCCTCTGGTCAGATATTGTGTCAGCCTTGCTGTGTCTATCTGGCTGCAGCCAGTAGCTGTATTCAGCTTTAAGCTGACTACTCCAGCACCTCCTAGGGCTCAGAGCCAAGAGGGCTCTAGCTACTGGCAGCTGCTACCACCTGGGCCCCAGGTTCTTCCTTGCTCTTGGGGAAAAGCAATGCGACTGGAGAGAGTTCCTTTACACTGTGGGACTGGCCACCTCCCTAGGCTGGGCTACCCTTAGGCCTCATGGAAAATAGTCACTCTTTGGAGCTTTAGCAGCAGGAGGGTACCCCTAAGGGCAGAGGCCACTCACAGGTACTGCAGGACACAGTCCAGGGTCACAAGCAAGAGGGCTGAAAATAACCTGTGGTAAAGGCAGATGTCAGCTGGGCAATGGGAGCCCATCAAATTAGGGTCAGGATGCGGGAGCAGGGAAAGTAGAAGTCAGCTTCACAACTCACACGCTGGCTCTGAAAACTGGGACTAAAAGATTAACTGCTCTGAGTCTGGACGGACCTGTGTGTGAACTGGGAATGGTCTCTTCATCCTCAGGCAGATGAGAAGTCTAACGATTGGAGAGTGGAAAATGCTTGGCAAAGACTAGATGTTCTGGAATCCCACAGCCTGGTGATCATGTCTCTCCCATCATCAAGGAGACCCCGCCTCACCCCCACACTACTTAGCCCTTTCTTTTTTCTTTTCTTTTACAAATGTTACAGGTCTCATTGTCACCACGGTAACTTATCTGCTGTGATGGAAGCACGGCCTGTGTCTCAGTTTCGCCACCACAGTCAGTTCTACTTAGCCCTTTCTAATAAACTTAGTTTAGGTTCAGCCGGGTGGTGGTGGTGATGCCTTTAATCCTAACACTCAGGAGGCAGAGGCAGGTGGATCTCTGTGAGTTTCAGGCCAGCCTGGTCTACAAGAGCTAGTTCCAGGACAGGTTCCAAAGCCACAGAGAAACCCTGTCTCGAGAAACAAACAAACAAATGTATTCTAGGCTCAACTTTAACTACATTACTGACTGTGAGTCCCCAGACCTCTAAAGCCTAAATTTGGAAGTTTTGACTCTCCCAATCAAGTTGTCTGCAAAGACCCCATTTCCTCTTTAAAACTTCTGTTGTTTTTTGAGACAGGGTTTCACTTGTGTAACTATGGCTGTCCTGGAACTTACTCTGTAGACCAGGCTGCCTTTGAACTCACAGAAATCCATCTTCCTCTACCTCCCAAGTGCTGGGTTTAAAGGTATGCACCACCACTGCCCAGCTCCTCTTAAAAAACTTTTGCCAGGCAGTGGTGGTGCAGGTCTTTAAAACACCAGCACTTGAGAGGCAGAGGCAGGATCTCTGTGAGTTCCAGGTCAGCCCAGTCTATACAGTGAATTCCAGGACAGGCTCCAAAGCTACAGAGAACCCTGTCTTGAAAAACAAAACAAAAACATTGAAGATACACTTTATTCGTATGAGTGTTTTCTTTGCAAGTGTGTCCCTGTACCACATATCCCTGGTGCTGGTGGAGGTCAGAAGAGAGTTCCAGATGCCTTGGAACTGGACGTACAGTTGTGAACTGCCACATGCGTGTTGGGAACTGAGCCTGGGTCCTCTGCAAAAACAAGTGCTCCTAACTGCGGAGTCCCCTCCCATTTCCAGTGCCCCTTTTCCTTTGATCTTCATCTCCTGGTGCCTCCAATGCATGAAGACAGGGAAAGGCAGGCTTTTCAGACAGACCTGAGTTTCTTGAAATACATGGAAAACAAGTCAGAATGGTCATTTTCAAACAGAGTGTTCCCCCGAGGGCATTCCTGCTGGCTTCGCCCTGGAGACAGTCAGCCTTGCACTGCAACCCTCACCCCCGCCCTCTCGAGTTCCTAGGCCTTTTCCTCTTTATAAAAGGCCTTTAACCGGGAGGTAACATGCACACACAGTTAGACAAAGACTTCACTACATATTGATGCCTTGCCTCAAACACAAAACAAACAAAGAAAACGTCCTTCATGCTACTTCCAAGTCTATTGCTCCACAACACCAGTCCACAAGCCCCCAAGTCCCAAGCAGTTTGGCTCACACAGTTGCTACGCAGACTTTCTTCACTTGCCATTTTGGCTCACCGAGGTTACGTTTCTTAGTGTAGTCTAAGCAACTTGAAGCTCAAAAAAGATCTTTTTTGCCCTAACAAATGACTGTCAAATGCATCATTTGCAATGATTTGAAGGTTAACTGTAAATGAAAAGAAACAATCCAGAGTTCTTGAGGGGGTGGAGGAAAAAGGACTTTGTGTTTTATTTTAAAATTATTTTTATTATTTTACATATGAGTGTTTCTTTCTTGCATGTATGTCTGAACCATGTACATGCCTGGTGCCCATAGAGGGCATCTGGTCCCCTGGATCTGGAGACAACTGTGAGCTGCCATGTGGGTACCAATACTTTTAATTGCTGAGCCAGCTCTCCAGGCCTTGGATTTTGTATTTTTGACTAAAAAAAAAAAAAAAAGTATTGGGTATTGGGCATCAGGAAGACGGGAGCTCTAGTTTGATCTGCCACTTGTCAAGTGACCTTGGATAAGTCATTTTATTTCTTCAAGTCTTATATCTAAAATGGAGGCTAAATCCTGGTCTGTCTCACATGGCTGTGGTGACCAAATAGTTCCGTGTGTAAAATCTCAAAGAATTATGGTTGGAATGTAAGAATAAGAAGCATGGGTCACTAGGTACTCAAGCAAAGGGAGAAGAGGCAATTACGCCAAGGGGATTAACAGAGTTCTCCGGGCCCTGGAGTGGGAGATCAGAATCTGAACTATTTTTAAGGAGGAAATAAGATCCTATTTCACCCCAATCTACCCTATGGCCCTGGGCCAAGCGCACCCCTTTACAGGGAAAGCGTCCTCTCGAGGCCTCTTTCCCCCATCTCATCTTTGTGGACGACATCGGAAACGCAATGGTTTTCGGATCCCTCCCCAATAGAGACGTGCATCAACACTGGCCCGGAACTCCCTGTCGCTGCTAGGGAAAGGTTGGCGGACTCAGCGACGAGGCCAAGGCCCCGGGAGGCCATTTTCTTCAGGCGAATCCAGGGTTCGGGGCGAGTCCTTCGCCCCACCACGCGCTTCCGATGGTGCTCAGGCGAAACGCTGGGCCGCGGATGACCACTTTGCTTTCACCTCTAGTGCGGAGATAGCCCTTGGCCAGGGTGGCTGTTCGCGCCCAAGGGTCCCGAGGGCAGCCTGGGGGGCCGACGTCACTCAGGACTCGAACCCGCCCTCTCATCTCCCGAGGCCTAGTCTGAGACTGTTGCACGATAGGCCGTCACACTGTCCCTTTAAGGCGGCACTTCTTAATTCTTCATTTGTTTACTTCTTCATGCGCTTATCGTTTTTTTTTCAAATAAACATATGTCCACAATATCCTTCCGCTTCCCTCGCTCCCAGAAACTCGTCACATGCCTTAGAGACATTACTGTAATTTTAAGAATCCAATGTTAGTAATTATGACTAACATCTCTCTTTATACGTTTTAATCTTCTTTCACATTTTAGGGACTATTTTTTAGGGACAAACCATTTTTGCACTAGTTGAAAACCGCCTATGACCATCAGAACCTTTCCGCTAAGAGCAGAATACGACAGTGGTCTTTTAAACGCACCTTTTAATAAAAATACTCTGTCTAGGCTCCCAAAGGTCATGGAATCTTCTTGTATTCCTGAAGCACAATGGTACGGTCCAGAATCCGCCCCATGTCCTCTGCGATTGGTCTTCCCTCCTCGGAGAGACGAATAACTCTTGCCCAATGACTGCTCACGTTTCTTCAGCGACTGCAAAGCGATGGAAGGAGGCTGCCTGGGAGACGCCCCCTACGCGCTCTACGATTGGCTACGTTGCACGGCGCGCGAGGACGGCGGGCCCGAAAGGAGAGGACTACGACTCCCGGCGGCCCCACGCCGGGACTCCGTTACGCATGCGCATGGGCGGGGCTAGCAAACTTCTATATATAAGAGGCGCTGAGGGCTGGGAGACAGCAGTTGGAAGTTGGCAGGTGGAAAGTCAGGTTGGGAGGGGAAGCAGGAGGAGGAGGCGGAAGAAGCGCTGTCTGAAGGGGGAGGAGGGAGGGAGGAAAAGAGGAGGAGGCGGAGGAGAACTGAGCGGAGCATCGAGCCAGAGGGGAGATGAGTTTGCCTGTCCTCGGCTAAGGCTCCGGCCCGGCCTGGGGAACTGGGAGCTCGGGTTGGAGCGACACCCGTGGAAGTGGGAGGAGGTGGCTCTGGGACTTTAACCCCTTGTGGGCTCTGCGGCAGGGGATTTAACCCTTTGTGGATTCGGCCCCTCGGAGGCAGCGTCATCGGGTAGTTTTAACCCCTTCGGGGCTGGGATTAACCCACCACCTCCTCCGTCGTGGGAGCGCTCGGCGGGGAGGCGTGAAGCCCACCCCTCTGAACATTACGTACTGTGCCTGCCGCTGCACCCCCTTGGACCTGCTAGTTGGCCACGCTTGTGAGCACTTAACCCTTTATTGACTTAACTCCAAGTTGCGACTGGAGTTTGCTGACAAGACGGACGAAAAGCGTCACTACAGAAACTACGGGCCGAAGAGGACTTTGTTGGACATTTTCTGAAAAGAAAGAACATTCTTTTTTCCTTAAGCCAAAATTTCTCAAACTTCCAGAAGAGGACTCTACTAAGCCATGGCCGAGCCACTCTTGTCAGAACATCAGCACCAGCCTCAAACTAGCAACTGCTCAGGTGCTGCTGTTGTCCATGAGGAGCACAACTCTGAGCGCCCCCCAGGCGCAGAGGAACGGGTGCCCAAGGAGGACAGTAGGTGGCAATCGAGAGCATCCCCGCAGTCGGGGGGCCGTCCGGGCCAGGAGGGAGGAGGCCTGAAGCTACCCTTGCAAACCAATGACTGCCCAGAATCGAGCTGCCTGGAGACGGGCACGAAGGGCCAGAATGGAGAGGACCTAGCGACTGGCGGTGCCTTCCCGTCGGAGGAAGGGGACCCGATGTCAGAGTCCCTTGTCCCGCCAGGTCATGACTCGGAGACTACCAAGTTGGGGGCTCCTGCCGCTGGAGGCGAGGAACCATGGGGACAGCAGCAGAGACAGCTGGGCAAGAAGAAACATCGGAGACGCCCGTCCAAGAAGAAGCGGCACTGGAAGCCCTACTACAAGCTGACTTGGGAGGAGAAGAAAAAGTTCGACGAGAAGCAGAGCCTGCGAGCTTCGCGGGTTCGAGCCGAGATGTTCGCCAAGGGTCAGCCGGTGGCACCCTATAACACCACGCAGTTCCTCATGGATGACCACGATCAAGAGGAGCCTGATCTCAAAACCGGCCTCTACCCGAAGCGGGCAGCCGCCAAATCCGACGACACCAGCGATGAGGACTTTGTGGAAGAAGCTGGTGAGGAGGACGGGGGCAGCGATGGCATGGGAGGGGACGGCAGCGAGTTTCTGCAGCGGGACTTCTCGGAGACGTACGAACGGTACCACGCCGAGAGCCTGCAGAACATGAGCAAGCAGGAGCTCATCAAAGAGTACCTGGAGCTGGAGAAGTGCCTCTCGCACAAGGAGGACGAAAATAACCGGCTGCGGCTGGAAAGCAAGCGGCTGGGCGGCGTCGACGCGCGAGTGCGGGAGCTGGAGCTGGAGCTAGACCGGCTGCGCGCCGAGAACCTCCAGCTGCTGACGGAGAACGAACTGCACCGGCAGCAGGAGCGAGCGCCGCTTTCCAAGTTCGGCGACTAGACGGAAAACTTTTGGGGGGAGGGGCAAAAAGGGGACTTTTTACAGTGCTGGAATGTAACATTATATACATGTGTATATAAGACAGTGGACCTTTTTATGACACATAATCAGAAG